CGGGTCAGTCGGGGTGATTGCTGTGCTGCCTCTTGCTCTGGCTGCTGCTGCTGCTGCTGCTGCTGCTGCTGCTGCTCTGGACTCTGGGCTCGGTTTTGCTCTCGCATCCGGAGCTACAATGAGAATGACATCGATTCCTGTTTGGATAGGACAACAGGAAGTTGGAAGAGACGGAGAGCAGCGGGGAGTGTCGCTGACAACACCAGTATAAAGGAGTTTTTAAACAGAGAAGAAGTGAAACTACAGCCATCACAGGGTCTGGTTCTTATCTGGAGCTGCCACGTTTTTCATTCTGTCTATATCTAATACTTCACACTGACTGATTCACCACAGTTAATCATGATTAATGTTGATAAATCCACAGCTGAGCTGGGATTAATCAGACTTCAATCTAATAATATAACAGAGTAGGGACACACCCATCTACAATTCTTCACTTCCGATCCGATTCCGATACTCTTTCTTTATTATTATTATTATTATTATTATTATTATTATTATTATTATTATTATTATTATTATTATTATTATTATTATTATTATTATTATTATTATTATTATTTGCATGTATTTCACAGAAGTCAGAAAAACAGGAAACCATGTGAACAGGAAAAAACCTTCAAACAAATACGAGGCTGGAGCTCAGACGTGGTTCGTGGATCGGATCGGTCCGAGCCACTAATGACGTTGGGATCGGCCGCCGATACCGATACTGGATCAGATCGGCCCCGTCCCGAGCTGAGAGTTTCCCCGTGTGTGTATGGGCCAGTGTGTAAATGTGTGTGTGGTTCAGCTACAATGTAACACTTGGTTGGACATAAAAAAAAAAACCTTTGTTGGTTTGTAGTAAATTTCAAATACCAGGCAAACTCTGTGTCGGTCGGAGAAATACGGCAGCGGTTTGCAGCTGTGTGTTAGCGTAGCTTAGCTTTAAGCTCATCAGCTTTTTTAAAAGAGAAGAAGAAGAAAGGGTGGCAGCGTAGAGCAGTGGCTGGAGATTTAAGCTAAATGTTAGAAAGAATGGTCATCTCTCTTGTGCTCTGTTGTGATTCTCCTCAGAAGAGGATACAGTAAGTGCCAGCTGTGCTGCCGCGCAGCGCCGCTCCACAGACGTCGGCCTCGCTGCACTCCGTCCACCCCACTGAACCGCCAGCTCTGGCAATCAATTCTGAGCCTTGTGCTGTCAGTGCGAGCCTCTGGACGCAGCAGCTGGCCGCAGGAAGACAAGCGCTCTTCCTCACAGTCTGCTCCCCATCAGCTGCACCCAGCTGTCCAGCAGCAGCGCCACCATTCACTGCACCGGTGCTGGGAGGCCTCATTCACTGCCGTCCCCGCTCATTTCTGACTGCCGTCCTCTTCAACACGCTTTTCTTTTTCACTTCTTCCTTCCTACCTTGTGAACTACACACACACACACACACACACACATCCGCTCTTCAGCCACACAGCAGGCCTCGGCTCGCTCTCTGTCTTTCTTCTTCTTTCTTCCCCAGTAAAATTGTCCATCTGTCTCTGCCTTTACCAACTTTTACTCCACTATTTCAATCTCTCCTTTCTCTCCCCCCCTCTTCCCCCCCACCCGCGGCCATTCTTCCCCCTGTCTACCACGCTGGGTCTTTAGATGAACTTTCCTTCTCTCTCTTTTTTTTTTTTTCGCCGTTGTCGTAGCTTTTCTTTCGCCTCCATCCATGTCCCTTCTGTCTCTCTGTTTCGTGGTACCCATTCCTCTTTTTGGCCCTTTGTTGGTTTGCCATGTCTCAGTTTCTCCGCTCCTTTCTCTGCACTTCTGCCCCCTCCTTTTTTTTTCCCCAATCGCTCTTATTTCCGGCACAATTTCCATCTCCTTCTTTGTTGCAATCTAAACTATGTCCCCTTTTTTTTTTTTTCCGAATGTCACAATACTGTATCTTTTCTCCCCCCCTTTCCTCCCTCCTTTTCTTTAGAGTAACTTCTTTTTCTGCCTCTCTTTCTGCTGTATTTTTTTCACAGGTGTCTGTAAGGCGGGGATTTACATTTTCTCAGGACAGGCAGCCCGTGGAGAGAGGCCTGCTGGCAGATCAAAGGCTGCGGCTGTAAAACGATCTGAAAGAGTCCAGCATTAGCATCCATCAGGGTACCTTGAAAGCTCCCTGGTCAGCCGAGAGGGAAGCAGAGGGCCCCCCAAAGTGAAAGCCCAGTCTGGAGAGGGGTGATGGAGGGGCATGGGGAAGGGAGGGGCAGGCTACTGTATCTTTTCTCCAGAGAGAGAGAGAGAGAGGAGGGAGAGGGCGAGAGAGAGACAGAGGGAGAACGGAGGATGAAGAACTCTACGCTACAGTCATGGAGAAAAAGAAAAAAAAATAGAAAAATATTTCTATTTTTCTCTCACCCACATATCTCCCTGAACTTGACTTTAACTCCTCCACCCTGAATTCAACACATGGGGTCGGGTCTGGTTGGGATGGAGAAGCAGAAACTAGAACTGACTTCAGGTGAAAGTGAATTATCTGCTCATTGTGACACCACTGGTTTTAACCCATCACCAAAGTGAACAGTGGGGGGTAGTGTGTGTGGGGGGGGGGGGGTGCCGTGCTCAGAGCACCTCAGTGGTAACTTGGCAGCCGCTGGACTCGAACCTGAGACCCTTCCGGACCCAAGTCCGCTTCCTCAAGCACCTTAAACCACCACTTCAGGAGGTGTTTCCAACACGTGGGGCGTGGATTCAGATCGACCTGCGTTCCTGCTGCGTTCACTGTCTCTTCACTTCTGTCTTTTTCCAGCACTGACTCAACGATGACTCTGATTTATCTGTTCTCTGAACTGTGCATCCTTCAGTCTGACACATTTCACTCAGGAAGTCAAACGTAGAGACAGTGACATCTGACAAAAACGGTTCTGTTTTTTTTGTCAGAATTTGCTGCTGTAACTTTTCATCACTCAGGCTCCAAACAATAGTTCATTTTACCAAATCATTTTTAATTCAATCTTAGTTTTTTGACCAGGTTTTTAACTGTTGATATTTACATCAGGGGTCATCGAAGGTCATTGACCAAAACACCATCTAGATCTAGAGCAAACAGATCGACGGCTCAGGGACCGTCCACCTGCCTGCAGCAGTCAGGCATCAGTTCTGGACGCCTGTTTTTTCTGTCTGCCTTTTCAACTTCAGAACAATGTCAGACTGAGTGTCACGGACGGAGTCTGAGAACTTCATTTCACTTCCTGTCTGCCACTTCCATGTCGATTGAAGAAATGGAAACCATAGGTTCTGAATTAGTTCAGTTCACAGTCGGTGAAGTACTTCACAGTATAAATATGACACTAGTTTTTTTTGTTACTACACTTCTTCTTTTTTGTTACTACTACTGCAGCCATCTTTGAAGTCAAACTCAAGTGTCATCGTGACGTCTGACTTCAGCTCCACTCACAGACCAACACACAGACATTACTGACATGTGTGCACGTCCAGGGTTGCATGCCACTGTCTCAGCTCCATAATGAATGTCCCTGAGACACACACACACACACACACACACACAGATAGATAGACAGTGGCAGGGCTCAGTGCTGCCGTCTTGTCCACTAGAGGATGAGTTCCTCCTCTGTTTAGGGAAAAGGATGTGATCTCACTGGTTAAAAATCCAACCTATGTCGCTTGCCACTCATGACTTAATCCAGGCTTCTCCTTTGTGTAGAGCGCCCTCCCCCTCTCCCCCCCTGCCTCCCCCTCCCCTCGTCTCCTCTTACTTTCTCTTTGCTCTCTCTGTGTTCGCTCCTATCTCTCTGCTGTATATCTATCTGCTCATCTAACATCTGCCCCCCCCCTCACCCACTGCCCCCGTAATCATGCTAGAAATTGCATGGCATTTTTACACGTATGTTCTCTTCATATCTCTACATGGAGAAGTTTCTCTGTTATAAGAGACAGATCTGGACTGCAGGCCGACCAGTCCATCAGTCCATGAAGCCACCACTGTAGATAAAGAACGCATGTTGATTCATGTTTCACCAAAATGTAATCCAGTGGTTCACAAAGTGCACGGAATTGTACTTTTATTTCAATCAAAATTTAGGGTTAGTGAAGTCAAAGATGTTCAGTGGAGATCTGGAGAAAAAGTACTACCGGTCAACAAACCATCAAAATTATTACAATATTAATTTTAAAAAACTGCATCAATAACCTGAGAAAACACAAAGAAACTGCCAACATTAGTAGAATTACTACAAGTATTACGGTAAAGAATACTGGCCCGAGTTTTTTCTTTGACCTCCTGTTCTTCTAATATTAGAGATTTTTGGTTTTGCTTCATTTTTTTGTTCTTTTACAAATCAGCTCATTTGTTAGGTCTACAGATACCCCCGCCCCCCCACTGTGCTGCACATGCTCCATGCAGATTAGGCCAATCGTCGCCTCCTGCGTGTCCTCCAGCGACGGTCCGTACTGTGAGGAAAAGCAAAAATAAAAGAATCTTTGTAGCTACAGAATCGTGTTTGCAGAATCGCACAGCTTGGTGCAGGAAACACACTCGGCCGTTTATACTGTCCATTATGGTTTTGGGGAGATTTTTTTTTTTTTTTTTTTGCCATATGCGACTCTTTTAAACAACTTCCACAACGGCCCCGTGCATCTGTTGTTGTTTTTAAGCCTGTTTACGTGGACCACTGCGGTGAATTCATAAACACATTTTACAATTCACAAATGTACAATAGGTGGAGTGAGACTGTCCTTTGTGTTGGCACGATGCTTCTCATTAGGGCCGGTCTGCGCTGGTCTCCATCACAACAACTGTGAACCTGAGAACCGAACATATGGGCTTTTTCTCTGCAGACCAAATACAATGTGCTGTTGACATGGTGCATTTATACAGTGGCCTCTAATCTGCATCCTCCGCCGTGAGAGCGAAGTGCAGAACAGAAGTGGCAAACAGCACGTTGAGCTTTTTGTTTCTCTTGTACAGTTTCGTGCCCCCGTCCAGCTGCCTGTGTGTTCAGTTTTGGACAATATTTACAACTGTTAATGGTCTTTTCAGAGCTAAAACATAGGGTGAAGGTCAAGGTGCCATGTAGGATTATTTATGAGAGGAACTTTAGTTTTAGCAACAGTATTTTTTTGAATCTGCTCCAAAAAAAGTCTTTTAAAACAGGTGAAATCTTCATTAGAAATCTGAAGTTCACCCTGGGAGACTTGAGTTTCTAAGGTCTATTTTTTGGCTGAACTACAGAGTAAATGGTCGTTGGTGATTCTCTAATTATGTTTCCCATGGCTGAACTACAGAGTAAATGGTCGTTTGTGATTCTCTAATTATGCCTAGTCATGTTTCACGTCAAGTTCACATTTCATTAATGTCTAAATTTTACTTCTGAATCTTTTTTACTGTCATTTTTGGAAATATTGAGCAAGGCTCATGTATATTTTTACTTAATTTTACTTTGTTCAAATTCACGTCAAAGTCGTAGCTAAATGTAAGCTGTAGTTTTTATTATGAGGTTTGCTCACTAGCATGGGTCATGGTAGTACTAATGCTGATCAACTTTGGTGACTTTTGCTTCTTTACTCCAAGTTTGCATCTTAATTATTAGCATGGGTCATGGTAGTACTAATGGATGTGACCCCTCCTCCCCCCCCTCCCTCTGGTAGAGCTGAAATCGACTCACCTCAGTGGCGTTAAAACAGCCCTCTCTGTGTGTTTGTGTGTTAACATATTGTGGAGCCTCATTAACACTGGCGGCCTGTTGTTCTGACCAGTTATCCCTGTCTCCTGGACTCGGCCTCACACTGCACCGCATTATTCTGAGAGTCTGTCCAGACAGCTGTCCACTGGCACCAAGTGACCGTGGCACCTCATAACTCAAACTACGGGGAGTGAGAGAGGAACTGGGTTCATTCTGTCAGTGGTTCTGAAAATAAATATATAATATTAATGTTTAAAATAAAACATTTTCCATTTGTGGTCCAACTCTTAAGTTAAGACGTGATAGTTTTATCACGTCTTCTTCTTCTTCTTCTTCTACTCTGTTACCAGTTTAATCCATGGCGACCAGGGGTTACAGGCCCACATTGATATTCTGTGGAGAACAGAATGTAACATGTAACGGAGGATTAGGGCAGAAATACTTAAAGGACGGCTAATCTCATCACCTGTTTTCTTGCGCAGCCTTTAATCGACTGCTTTGTCGAAAAAAAAAAAAACGACATTACTATCCAAATATGGCGGCTCATATCCTGCATATCCAGTTTCATTAAAGTAAACAGGGACAGATCCAGTAGGGGATGTTGGGAGTCGTGGAAGCTGTAGGATCAAAGCGGAAGTCAAACAAGATGAGACGTGAGATTAGATGGAATCTGGACAGGTGGAGTGGAGGACGGAGAGCGATATGAAAACTGCCCTCCTGAGGGGCCGCTGCAACACTTGGAACACTTGGAACGGTGTGTTTGTATTACCTGCGGATACAGCGACCTGTCCATCCTTTGTGTAACTAGTTAATGACGAGCAGCCTGACACAAAGTTTGTGGAGAGCCCGGTGTTTAAGATCACTCCAAATCCTGGACTGGAGGAACTGGACCAACCTGACGTCCTGTGTTTGAAAATGAAACCGCACAAGGATGTCTAGAAACACCTTCCTGTTTCCAACAGCCTGCGGCTGCTTATATGCAAATTAACGTTAGCGCCGCCTGTCAAGGAGCAGCAGAAAGTGAACGACGTTCAAAAACAGATTGTTGATACGTTTTAATTATCATTTCAATAAATCAAAACATGACTTTGAACACAAGTCCCGCAAATTAGCGCAGGAGCTAACACAAAGCTGCAGAGTTTCAGCACCAACTGCGATCACGTGGCGAGGTGAACCGACAATATTAGTGGTCAAATCTGTCAGCAGTAAAAACTAAATACACGGTTATACTTCGCCTTCGTTAAAGATTTGTGGCCCGTTGCCAATGTAAACACTGAGAAACAATTAGTGGTTGATCATCAGTTTGTCTTGATCTACCTCGTCACACATCCACTTGTTGTAAGACATCGTTAATAGTCGGCGGAACAATTCACGTCAAGTTAAAGACAAACTGTCAAAAATGAAGATCAAAACGTCAACAGTAGGAGGATGTTTGTTTTTCACGCCTGGTTTTATCTGCGACGAATCCAGATGGTAGAATTATTAATATGGGGAATATTATACGTAGACTGACTGACTGATTGACTGACTGACTGACTGACTGACTGACTGACTGACTGA